ATGGCCAGCGTGCAGGCAGGATTCTTTTTCATATATTAAATATTGCATAATAAATGTTTAAATTTTTAATAAAAGCAGGCCTTATTGGGGGAAGAAAGCTGCAAAGCAAGAGGTTAGAAATATGCAGACTCTCTTCCCAGGAAGCTTTCTGATTGAGATTTCTGACTGAGGGACAAAAACCTGATTTTTGCTGGCGCGGTGGTACACCTGTCCTGCAACTCTGGGAGGCTGAGGCGGGAGATCACTCCACGGGTAGAGTTCGAGACCAGCCTGAGCAAGAAGTGAGATCTCATCTCTACTATAAATTAGAAAGAAATTAATGGCCAACTAAAAATATAGAAAAATTAGCCGGGCCATGGTGGCGCATGCCTAATCCCGCTACTCGGGAGGGAGGCTGAGGCAGGAGGGATCGGGTTGGCCCAGGATTGTGGAGGTTGTGTGGAGCGAGCTAACCCCCACGGGTACTCTAGCTCGGGCAACAGAATGGACTCTGTTAAAAAAAGAAAAGAAACTAAAAATTTTTTTATGGGTGAGGGAGAGGAATAGGCGCTGTGGCTCAGCCCTGTAATTCTAGACTAATGGGAGGCCGGAGCGGAGATCGCTCGAGGTCAGTGAGTTCGAGGCACCAGCCTGAGCAAGAGTGAGACCCTGTCTCTACTATAAATAGAAAGGATTAACTTGGCCAACTAAGAAAATATAATTTAAGTATGATTTTTCAACGTATTCTTTTCTTTAAACTGCGATGCCCACCAAATGGTCAGCTTAGAACAGGGAGTTCAGTGCCACTTGCCATGGAAAATAAATCTATGTCCCTTTATGCATACATAGCATGAGGAGGAACTGCCATCAGTCCTGAGAAACAAGCGTTTGTCGTGACTGAAATTTAGCCGGCGAACACGGGCTGCACGCGCCCACGGTGGGAGGGCAGATGCTCGGCAGAGCACGTGGGAAGTTTCGCCACACCACGCAGCCAACGACCGCCGAGGCATGCGCGACAAGGAGAAGATTCCGACTGACAGAAGGAAGGATTTCAATGTCACCTTTGACATAGGGATCACATCTGTTTACATTTAACTAAACTATGTAAGGGTGCGCTCTTGCTCAGGCTGGCCTCCAACTCCTGACCTCGAGAGCGATCCTCCCGCCTCGGCCTCCCAGAGTGCTGGGATGCCAGGCGTGGGCCACCGCACCTGGTCAACCAATTCCTTCTCTAAGTCTGTGAGCTCCATCTGAGTTACATTTCCCAGACCAGAGCGAGCTGTTAGAGAACCAAACACGCAGCCCCACTGCAAATGCAAAAAAAAAAAAAAACAAAAAACCCCACACGCCTGGCAGGTGGTGCCGTGCAGCAGCTGGATTAGCACGGGCCATGCAGAGAGGCCCTGTATCGCATGCTCACGCCGATCTCTAGAGCAACCCGCTCTCTCTGGCTTGCACACATGTCTGATCCCTGGGGACTTGTCCCGCTGCACGAATCTCCCACATTTGTCACCTAAATCGGCGCTCCGCATGCGCGATGCAGCGCCTAGCAACATTACACGAATTTATTAAATTCTCTGGAGGACCTTGGGCCCATAAAGCAGTGAATTGATCACAGAGAACCGGGGCCGGAACATTCTCAGAAGCAGCAGAAGCACTCATGCCCCCGTATTGGGCGCTGTTCCTCCTGTCGCTGCAGCCAACAGGCCGGGTCACACGGCGATCGGGGCCGAGGCTGTGCCATGCCCCAAGGTCATGCGTTGTTGGCTCGGTGGCTTTTAGGGTGCCAGCCTCGGGGTGCACCACTTGTAAGAGCACAAGGGGGGCCGGGCGAGGTGGCTCACGCCTGTCATCCTAGCACTCGGGGAGGCCGAGGCGGGAGGATCGCTCGAGGTCAGGAGTTCGAGGCCAGCCTGAGCAAGAGCGAGACCCCTGTCTCTACTAAAAATAGAAAGAAATTAATTGGCCAACTAAAAGAAAATATATAGAAAAAATGAGCCAGGTATGACAGGCATGGTGGTGCATGCCTGTAGTCCCAGCTACTCGGGAGGAGGC